CAGGATCTCATCAGAAGGGACGAACCACCAATATCACAACCTGCTTCCAGCAAGATCCATCTGCCCTCTCATTGCTCACGCTCCGACTTTTGCCAAAGCGAGCTGGCGCTAGCTTTAGGGGTCTCAAGGCATGCGTAGGGTATATAGTGTGAAAAACCCGCCTCGCTGGAATAACAAGCAGCCCGTGCCGCGCCTGAGGATTGTCTGGGTTGCCGAACTGGTCCAGCACGATGCCCTCCCCGCGAGCCTACGACTGATGGGATGGGATGCCTCAGACGCTTCGGGCCCCAAACCAAAGCCCGAAAACTCTCTAAACCCAACACCGTAGGGAGAAAAGAGTGTGGCCATGCCTTTACTTGCGAAAGCTGAGCCTGAAGCCAATAACCCTCCTGTGGCGCAGGGCTGTCTTACCACGAGTGGCCCAAGCTTCTAACTGTCCAAAAGACATCTTCAGCTCTAGATCAACATCCAGGCTCTCTCTCATCTCCCCGCAAGCTCGGAACCACCCAAAACAAAGCCAGCATAGCTTAGTAGGGCAACACGGTTTACGAAGCCGACTCGTCTGGGCGAAATGGTGACACGTGTCTTCACGCGGTGGCAAAGTTCCCTGCAGCACGCGCTGCATGTTCTGCTTCCTGAACCCTAAACCCTAAACCCTAAGCCCTAAGTCCAGGAGACTTCGCCCGCCTCGATAACACCCCCCCCCCCCCCCCAACCCTAAACCCTAAACCCTAAACCCTTTTTTGCATCCGGGCTTGGGGAGTCGGCCGGGAACCCTAAACCAAAAACCCTGACACCTCTCACAAAACGGATCGAAACCCTGCAAGGCAAGACAATGCTCTACTGGCCTGCATGGCGTGGGCCAGGTCCCGGGCCTTGGCTTGATTTGTTGCAGGGGGGTTCAGGCTTGCTTTGGGTAGGGTTTAAGGGTTTAGGGTTTGGGGGTTAGGGTTCGGTGCTTAGGGGCTTAGGGTTTATAGGGTTTAGCATTTAGGGTGTAGGGCTTCGGGCCACCGGTTTTGGGTTGAGAGGGTTTAATGGGGAAGGCAAAAGGGCACGACTCTTCTATCCTCCCCTTAGAACCTTAATAAAAACCATATGTTAATATCCTCGTGGGTGTAATACACATTAATTAGTAATTTCTCAGGGTGGTATAGCATTATCAACCCCAGGCCTTGAGGACACGATACGGAAGACCTGGGCCTCCTTGTTTCTTGACGATAAACCCTAAACCCTAAACCCTAAACCCTAAACTCTGTTTGGCAAACCACCCTAAGCTAGATCCACCAACCAGACACTACTCTCCTAAGACATCGCCGGGGTGCTTCCTCCATGGCTCCAGTGGAAACCAGGATCAGCTCCGCGCCATACACTGCCATGCTCGTGCGCCTGCTTTCGAGGCAGCCGTAGGTCTGGGAGATTTTCGTGCGGGGGTTTAGGGCTTTTTGCCACCTGCCTGGCAGCCTCACACCACACTCCTTGCATCCCGGCAGTGGATTTAGGGAGAGGGTCTCTTGGGGCGTATGAGGTTCACAATGGCCTCTGACTCCTTGGCCTGCGCCTGGAGTGCTGGACTTTAAACCCAGAAGAGGACCCTAATCTCACCTAGGGTTCTGAATTAGGCAAGGAGGTTCACAGGGGTATCTAACCCAAGGTTCCCAAATACTGCCCACTACTCCCCAAAACTCCCTAAGGTAAGCTTAGGTACCTGAATGAAGCCCCCCTAAGCCCCAAAACTCCCTAAGCTTCCCTAAGGTTCCCTAGGTACCCTGAATGAAACCCCCCCTGACTAATTAGTCTGGAACACCATGTGGCACCTCTCCAGGCTCATGTTCTCAGGCATGATGAGCTTCAGCTTGTACCCTTTGATGGCACCTCAAGACTTGTTTGGGGTTTACGGTTTAGGGTTTAGGGTTTAGATTCCCGTATACTTGCAAAGAAATGGTGTGAAAGGGTATTGACTGAAAGGTCTGGGGTCAGCCTCTGCTTGATCGTTTTGGGGGCCCCTAGACACTAGGGCCCTTAATAAAGGGTTCTGAGATATGGGCCCTGGCGTTTATAGGGTATCTCAGGGGCCCGGGGTTTCCAACGGGTCCCCATTTAAGGGCCCAACAAAGGGACCATGTAACTACTCTAGCACTATACGCAAGTCTAAAGGCCCTAAACCCAACTAGGGCTCCTGGGCTCGGATCCCTTTTGTAACGGTACATGGACCCTCCCACCCTAAACCCTAAACCCTAAACCCTAAACCCTTTTTTTCCATCTGGGCTGGGTGGGAATGCCAGAAAAAAGCAGCTGCTGGTAAACCCTAAACCCTTTTTGCTAAACCCTGAACCCTAAACCCCAAACTTTAAACCCGAAGTTCAAGGCACTGATGGCTGCCAGGGCAATGCCGGTGTTGCCTGAGGTCGCCTCGATCAGCGTGTCCCCGGGCTTGATCCGACCCGAAGCCTCTGCTCGCCTCTTTGGGTTTAGGGTTTAGGGTTTAGGGTTTAGGGTTTAGGGTTTAGGGTTTAGGGTTTAGGGTTTAGGGTTTAAGGCAGGGCTGGGGGCTTATGCCAAGTTTTGGAGGCATATGTATGTATGTATGCATGCATGCATGTATGCATATATGTACATACATATGTACATTTTTGTTTCGTGTATTTGCTTATGTGTGTGTATATCTTATTTATGTACATGCTTTTCTTATACCTATAGCCTATAGAGCGTTTTTGAAGGTGCGGTCCCGTTGGGGCTCCTAGGAGCGGAGGCCAATGTGAACATCATGCTGGGCTTAGGGTGGGTTCGAGCGCAGAGAGCTTGGGGTTTAGGGTTTAGGGTTTAGGGTTCAGGGTCCAGGGTGCCCCTTTTGGCAGCCGAAGCCCCAAATCCTTCTGGACCCCCTTAAACCCTAAACCCTTTCTTGCATCCGGACTCCCGTGGGTGCTACCAGAAACTGCCCAAGCACAGGCTCCCAGTGCTACTGACTGGATTCCCATACTCTAGCAAGCCAATCAACAGGCACAGTCTCAAAGATGAGGAGAAGACGATCATCTCGCAACATGTCGTAATGGAGGTTCCTAAGCATGACTAAGTGTTCTTCAATCGTGTAAACCCTAAACCCTAAACCCGAAACCCTAAACCCTAAAGCGCCTGATCATGGAGAGCGCGGCTCGGTCCTTGACGCTACCAGCCGGGTTGTCGCCCTCCAGCTTGCCTTAGGGGTTTAAAGGGATGAAGGGTTAAAAAGGAGGGTTTAGGGTTTAGGGCTTAGGGTTTTTGAAGGTTTCAGGGTTAAAGTGGAGGCTTGTTGTTTGCTTGTCACCCGCCTGGCTGATGGCAACATCGCACTGCAGGGAAATTGACGGTACTATGCGTATGTCCTGAAGACAGCTTTCGCCTCATCTCCAGTTGTTTGCACTCGTTTCCCACCCACCAGATTTCAATTACCAGACTAACAACCACAAAAGGAGGGTTTAGAGTCTAGGGCTTAGGGTTTTTAACGGTTTCACCGTTATATCTCCCTAAACCCTAAACACTGAAGCCATGTTTATATGGATTCAAGGGTTCTTGCCTTAACTCAGGGCTTTAAAGGGCTTCAGGGTTTGGAAAGGCTTCAGGGTATAAGGGTATAAAGTTTTGAGGTTTATAAGAGCTTAAGGGTTTGGGGGTGGCGGGGGGGGGGGGGGAAACTTGTTTTAGGCTTCAGTTTGCTCAACGCACATTCAAGGCAACCTTGCTTCCCAGCTGCACCCCAAACTCTTCAGAAACCCTAAACCCTAAAACCTAAACCCTAAAAGCAACCTCGGTATATAGGGGCCCCAAAAACATCAGATAAAAACCCTAAACCCTAAAACCCTAAACCCTACAAACAGGGTTTTCCAGAAGCCCCCTTATAGGGGCCCTTATGCCCAAACCTTTCGATCCTTAGGGTTTTGGGGTTTAGGGTCCTGCGGTCAGGATCTCTAAAGGTCTCTAGGCCTTTTTGCATGGGGTCCCTAGATATAAGGGGCCATAAGAATACTACTTGAAGAGATGCCCCCACCCTAAGCCCTAGGCCCTAAACCCTAAACCCTAAACCCACCCAACGTGTACTTGCTGTGCCCCAAAGCGGCAAAGGACGATGGAGCCAGACTCTGTGGGAAGCATGCGCTGCAGCCGGACCAGGGGAGTCTGGCCAACGCAGTCCTGCAACCAAGAATATCCCATACCCTCATGGTCCCTTTCCTCTCTTCTCCCTTGTAAGGGATTCGGCTGTGACAACTTCAGGGATCCCCCTAAACCCTAAACCCTAAACCCTAAACCCTAAACCCGAAGAGGTGTGCCAGAGCTCCTCCATCGTTCGCATCCCCGAAATGTCCAGGGACGCGATGCTGCGGGGGTAGGAGAGCTGCCAGCCCCTAAGGGGCAAGGACCTGCTTGAGGGTGCTCAGCTCTAAGGTTGGTTTCATGGCCCCTTCAGATGTGCCCTTAACAGGGGACCCTTCCTGTTTGCTTTTGACATCAGTCTCAGTCTCTGAAAGCCGAAGCCGAAGAAAGAGGAAAAGGTTCCAAGTACAGTCACCTGAAGTATGAGAAGGTGCCTGGCGCAGGTCCGGCAAGATCGAAGGGCCATGGCACATCGTGATGCCATGCTGCCAATCAATTTGTAACCTAGAAAGACCAGTTGTAAGTCATCGAGGTCTGAAGCCCCGGGTGGTCTTAGAGGTGTGCGTGCTCCGCCTAGACCAGGCGATACGCACTTGCTTAACTTCCCTCCATGTTGCGGCAGGTAACGCTTCAACTATGGCTCTATGCCAGCTTGAGCCGAGGTAGCAGCCATGCATGACGACCATACGTCATTCGAACTCTCAAGGGTTGCGGGTTGACAGGGTATCGACGCTCATGCTCGCACCAAAGGCAGGCACAGCTTCAGAGTGTCCGTCCACAGTCTACCAGGGCAAAAAAAAAACTTAGGGTTTAGGGTTTCGGGTCAACATCCTCGTGCTAAAGCGTTCAAGCCAGGGAATGCACCGCACCTATGGGTGGCGAGGCGCTCTCCACCAGCGCTGTCACCTGCGGTGAGAAGCCTGAGAGGCTGACTCTCGCCTACGGCGGTTTGTGGAACTCTCCAAACTTTCCAAACTTTACGGCCAGGTTTTTTTTGCCCCCCCTAAACCCCAAAAAAAGCGGAATCAGGCCTAATGTTGACTTCGCATTAAGAAACCCCCCCCCCCCCTTCATTGATCAATCTTTTCGGCCAGGGCCTCCTCAATAATATCGCCTAAATCCTGGTAGGACGTAGTATTAGTTTTAGTATTAGGTAGTAGTACCACTAGTAGTACTAGTAGTAAAAAAATTCCGGGCGGGGATTTTATAATTGTGGCGGGTTACATTATTGTGTTCCGGGCAGCGGGATTTTATAATTGTAGCGGGCTTTATTAATGTCAAGTCAACATTACTACTGGGCCTACTGTGGGATCTAGCATATGAGAGCGTCCCGGGCAAGGATTTTCGTCCTCTCGTGCTTGAACCTCCACAAAGTTTGTCTATGTATCTCTGGCGTGACACGACTTCAACTCAGACCTCCATCTTTGATTATAAGGCCTGTGTCATACCGGGACGGGCTATTCTACCCTATAACCCCTTCAAAAGCCCCCTTTCATAGGGTTGATTGTGGGACTTTAAAGCCGAAAAGCCCATCCTGGAAGGAGGGCTTAGGGTTTAGGGTTCAGGGTTTAGGATTAGGGTTTAGGGTATGCGCAGGCTCTGCAGGCACGAAGAGGACCAAGCGCTTGGCCGAGAAGGTCTTCTTTGCGGTCATGGAGCTGAAACACCTGAACTTCATGCAAGTCACAACTCCTCGCAAATATGTATGAAGCTGTGTGCTGACTTATCATCTACAGAGAAAATCACAGATAACTGTAATTTTGTTTGTAATTATAACTGCATATATTCCTGTACAATTATAGAATATAAGAAAATGAACATGTATGTATTAGATGGACGTGCGTTTGTGTACTATTACGTAACGTACTTGTATGTATGTGCAATGTGCATATGCTAAAAAAAGGCTTGGCTTCGTCTAGCGGCAAGCGCCACACCTTGACTAAGAGGTGGCGCTGCTTGGGCCGCTTAAGAAAAGCCTTAGCTGCTGCTGTGGAGGCTGCGAAGCATCTTCCTTGTAGGGTTTAGGGTTTAGGGCCGATAGACGAAGCTGAGCCATAGCCACTAATTAAACCCGCCCCGCATCCTCTTCAAAGGTTAGAACGGCAAGCCGAAGCCGATGTCCACCCGAGGGACGCCGGCGATCTCAAAGCACAATCATCATTGGAGTATCCCCACAGAAAGAAAACCTAAACGCAACGACGCCTCAGCCCTCTGGGACGCAGGCGTCAGTCGGCGCCGGCAGTTGGAAAAAAGCAACCAGACTGGCCTGGGCACGATTGTTTTGGGTTTCGGCTTTACCTAGACTCTGTCCTGCAACTCGATCGGTTGTAGCGACGCTAAAGATTATGGGGTACTTGCTACAAAGCTGTAGCTAGACGGCTGTAGACGTTCGCTATGCTTTACAGAATGCTCGGCTCCCCAAGAAGACAGAGTCTCCTGTTTTGTTTAGAGCCTGGCCCTCAAAAACAAAACAAAGGGAACAAGAGCACCACTGGAGTCACTGGAGCTACCCCTACCCTAAACCCTAAACCCTAAACCCTCAACCCCCTGTAGGTAGGGACCTTGTATGTTCCCCCTTATGCTAGCAGTCCTTACTCGGGATCATAGTGCCCCCTAATGGAATCCCCATTGAGGACTGTTAGTCTTAGGAACATCCCAATTGGAATCCCTAAAACCGAAGACCCTAAACCCTAAACCCTAAACCCTAAACCCTAAACCCTAAACCCTAAACCCTAAACCCTAAACCCTAAACCCTAAACCCTAAACCCTAAGCCAACCTCAAACAGTCTTGTGAACTCCTGGGGCTCCAACCACCGCCGGCAGCAGCTCGACGAGATTCTCGGTGCTTGCCTCAGAAATGAGTGAGAAGTGGCTTTGGGTTTTGGGCGTATATGTTTTGAAAACGCTAGACCCTAAACCAGAAACCCTAAACCCTAAACACTAAACCCTTGGGTCCTAAACCCCCGCAAACCTTCCAAGGAGCCCTGCCAAGCTGGGACTCATCTCCCCCCCCCCCCCCCCCCATTGCCTGCAACTCTTCCGTCGACGCGAAGTTCATCTCCAAGAAGTTGGTGAGGCTCGTCTGAAGGCCTGGGACGATTTCTAGCATGGCCCTTACCACCTCTGACAGATGTTCCGAAATATGCTCCTCTTAAACCCTAGAAGGGGACATATAGAATATCCCAAGGACATATTCTTACCTTGGTAGCCCAGTAGCCATATCACAATATGGGCACCCTTTTTGGGGAAAAAGGTATAAAAGGGTAGCTGGGCTACCAAGTTACTTAGGTCTTTTCTGTGGGTGTCTTAGGGAATTAGTGCTGAGGGCTCGGGTTTTGTCCTCACATTCCCCTGTCTTACGTTTTGCGGGGTCGTAAAGGAGGGAGTGCTCCAAATTATATCTTTCCTTTATGAGGGTGCAGTACTCTACCCTAGAAAACTGCCCGTATGCTTACCTTCCTCAGTCTTAGTGGGGAAATTGGGTGAGGCAGCTGTGGCCGGTTCCCCAATTTGATCCCTAAAGGGTTATATGGTAGGATGTACGGTGCCGAAGTACGATTCAGAGTCCAGGCAACCAGCGGAGAGAAAAACAAGGGTTTTGGGGTTAATGGGCTTTAGGGCTAGGGTTCAGGGCAAGTTCAAGGCGTGGGTTCAGGCAAAAGATGGGGGGTCTAATCCTCAAGAGGCACAGGCGCCAGCAAGAAAGAAAGAAGAGAGAAAGAAAGCAAAGCGGCGAATACCCTCAACAGCAGTGAGTCAGGGAAAGACCATGAGCTTGCTGCGGAAGCTTTCTCATCCTTTGCGTCTACGTGTTCTTGCTGCCCTAAACCCTGCACCCTAAACCCTAAACCCCAAGCCCTAAGCCCTAAAACCTAAACCCTAAACCCTGACCCTACATGTTCAGCTTGTGAGTTTTGACAACCGCCCATGTATAGGTGATGACGGCACATCTGAGACTGGTGCCTTTGCCCACGGGACACACCACCGTGGTGAGCTGCTCCTCGCGAAACTGGCCTGGAGCTACGCATGTTCTGGGCCTTGGAGCCTCGGTTTAGGGTTTAGGGTTTTTTTTGCCACCCGACTAGCCACAGCAATGCGGGGTAAATGGTCGGAGGAGTGGAAAAAGGGTTTAGGGTTTAGGGTTTGGGGTTTGGGGTTTAGGGCCCAGGGCCATAGCCACAATCCCCGGAATCGTGTATGCAAAGGACATGTCCACTTTCAAGGCAGTTCAACACGCAGGGACTGAGGCAGTTGCTGGGAATCCTTGTCAACCTTAGTCGGCTTGGTTGGGGTTCCTAACTCCTTACTGGTTCAATAAGACGGAGCCTTATGCAAAGTATATGGGGGCATAATGGGCGTAGCCATCTGTGCTTTGTATATGATCGTGAACCGCTGTGTTTCTGTGCCGGCGTCGTCGCACCTTGGGCCCTGCGCCCCTCAAGGAGGATACTTCGAGCCTGCGTTTCCGAAACCCCACATGATCTGAAGGCAGTGGACGTGTACCTGGGACTCGATTTGGCTGCAGCTTTGAGGGTATACGTGCCAACTAAAGCCATCTAAAAATTAAAACGTAGCTTCTGTAGATGACTCGAGTTCAGCATAGAGTCCAGGAAGAGTGTCGAGGAGCGTGCTCATGCCATGGGTTGGGGTCGCCAAGACAATGCTTCTCAGCTATAGGAAACACGAGCATGCAAGAATTGTAAACTGAGCATTTCCTAGCTCGTGGCAGCAAGGCCCTCAGGTACGTGATGCGTATAAGAGGCAATTCCTAGACTTCCGCCTTGGCAGTACGGCGCGAAAGCTGAGAAAACGACATGAAAACATGAAGCACACAATGCACTGTCGCCAACATTTAAACAGAAAGTATCATGGTGCGGCGTCTGTTGCTGCACTTGTGCTGGCTCGTGTTGTTTCTTCTGCTACGCCCCATAAGCCTTGATAAAAAACCCCAAGCCGCTGAGACCCCGCGCCGCCAGTCTTGTGTGAGCAGCGTGTGTTGCAGCGTCTTCTTCTGTGCCAGGGTCGACCTTTAGGGTTTAGGGTTTAGGGTTTAGGGGAGTGGATACTCACCGAAAACCCTATGTAAACCCAAACAGAACCAGGGTGAACACGCCGGCCAAGATCGAGGGCCGACATCAGTTTCTCAGTCCAAAGACCCCGAATGCAAAAACGAAACACCAAACAAACCTAAACCGCCATAAACCCTGTGAACCCTCAACCCCAAGCCCTAAACCCTAAACCCTAAACCTTGAACCCTAAACCCTAAACCCTAAATCCTGAACCCTCTGAAGTTTCAGGCGCCGGCAATCGATTGCCGGCGCCATGGAAAGCCTAGGATGCAAAGCCTGAAGCTTGCCTGAGGTTTCTTTTGTGCAAAACAGAGGGTGAGACTTGAACCCTAAACCCCTTTTCTCCCTAAACCCTAATCCCTAAACCCCAAAACCCTAAACCATAACCACCCAACCCCCCCCCCAAAAAAAAAAAAAAAAAAAAATATATATATATATATAACAAAATAAAAATAAAAAACAATATGAAAAAAAAAAACTCATAAAGAAAAGTGCGGGGCCAGGCCCAGGGATGCTTCGGCCCTGGGGTCCCCGGCCCGATGCTGCCTTGCAGCCCTTGGAGGCTCTGCTGAAGATGCGCCCAGGCGCCATTCCTCTCATCCGATATTTGGGGTTTTGGGGTTTGCAAGATGTGTTTCCGGTTTTTAGGGTTTAGGGTTTGGGGTTTAGGGTTTAGGGTTTGGGGTTTAGGGTTTGGGGTTTAGGGTTCAGGGTTCTCTTTTCCGCACATTGCCAGTGTAACCCTCGCCATCGCTCGGCCTCTCGGTGTGGAAGTCGTCGTAACGAGCCTAGCAGTTGGGGCTGGCTGGGTCTGAAGCATCTTTAGAGGATAGGATTAGGGGGACCCTTGGGGATATAATCCCTTCCGGGTTGGAAGGGATTAGACCATGACCCTCTGAATAAGGTCCCTGTTTAAGAGAGCCAGAAAAGGGTGAAGAAGAGCTCCCTTTTCAGGGCCCCCCCTTATCCTACCTGACAATCTTGAGATGTGCCAAGATCCTGCTTCTGAAGAGGGCTTGCCGGCTTTTAGGGTTTAGGGAGCACATAAGTCTCAGTCCCTCATACAACTAGCGGCTGAGACCCGTCCATCCACATGTTCTTGCCACCCCATCTTCTGCCTTCTTACCCTCTTCCCCTCCCTCTTTCATTCCGCTTCTTGTTCTCTATCCTGAGCTTCTAGATAGCTGGTTTACACCACCACTACCACACTCGACTACACCACCGCCGCCACCACCACCGGCACCACCCCCACTGCACACTCCACCACCATCACACACCACCTCGCACCATCACCACACTCCCTCACACACACACACACTACCACCACATGCCACCGCCGCTTCCACCGCGCGGTTGTTTTGCTTGCTGGTGCGTCTTCGCTGACTGTGCGGTTGTTTCGCTCATTGGTCCAGGGCCGCTCTCCCAAACACGTGCTTGAAATGAGAAGACGTGCGAACACGCACTCATACGGACCGCGCTCGGCGAATGCGACTCAAGATCTGTGAGTGCTACATCCGAAGTTGTCAGTGTGTCATTAAAAGCAGACAGTTCGGTGGTATCTTTCAAGTTTACCCCCAAGGGCATATTAGAACCATTCAATATGCTGTGCTGACCCCCCCCCCCTCCCCCCCCATCTTCTCGAAACTATCGAAAAAACTCTGCAGGGGGTCGGTCGAAAATTCTGGTAAAGCAGAGGTGAACTCCATCCCGCGACGCTAGCTTTCGTGATTCATGGAGGACTTTCGGCTATTCTGCACCAGACCTAAACCCTAAAAACCCTAAAAACCCTAAAAACCCTAAAAACCCTAAAAACCCTAAGAACCCTAAAAACCCTAAAAACCCTAAAAACCCTAAAACCCCTAAAAACCCTAAAAACCCTAAAAACCCTAAAACCTAAAAACCCTAAAAACCAGAAAAACCCTAAAACCCCTAAACCCTAACCGAAGCCCTGAAGCCCACACCCCGAGGCAAAAGCCTTCCGCAGCTGCAGGTCACGGAGTAGCTCCTCTTGGGGCACTGCTTGGAGCTTAGAGCTTTGCCTGCCATGCCATGCCTCTCTCTGAGGACCTTTAGTCTTAGTTGTCCAGTACCTAGGGGTTCTAAAAGGTTAACCTTTGGGATTCTGAGGGGACTAATACTACCCCAAAAAAAGGTTAAAGGTTACCTACTCTACTACTAAGTAGTAGGGTTAGGGATTTTTTGGCACCCGACTAGCCACAGCACAGCGGGGTTTGGTCTCGGAGGGGTTTGGGATTTGGGGCTTAGAGTGTAGTACCAGGGGGTTTAGGGTTTAGGGTTTGCGGGTTTGGAGTGTAGTACGGGGGGGGGTTTATAGGGTTTGGGTTAGGGTTTGCGGGTTTTGAGTGTAGCAGCGGGGGTGCTTTGCATGTGTTCACATCGGGCACGCCACTTGCTAACGGCTTCTTTCAATGCATTTTTGGCACTCCGCAGGCAAGGCGGGGAAAGACGCAAGTCTCTGACCCACCGGTTAGTTGGGCTGGGTCACAATCAATGCTCCAGCGGTTTCCAGAACAAGGATTCAGTGGCCAAAATGCAAGATTTGAGAGGTATAGGGGGCCAATTTGGCCAATGTTCTCGCGCTGCTCTTCCCAAGTCAGGCGAAGGCCCGCTCCAACCTTGTTAAGCAACCCATGTTGCGCAGTGTGGTCGCCACATACTTGAAGGCTGTGCTTTGGGATGCTCCCCCTTATAGATAACAGTCCTTAATCGGGATTCTAATGGGGGGGGGTACTATAATCCCTATTAAGGACTGTTCGTATAAGGGGGAACATCCCAAGCTGTGTTGGAAGCTAGCAGGCTGCATCCAGCATACACATGACCATCTAACAAACGGAAGGGAACGTGCAAAGGTCTAGTTCCTCATTCCGCGTCCTCTGCCGAGAACATGAGGACAGGCGATGCACCTGGGAATGCGTTGACATCCTAAACCCAAAGCCCTAAGCCCCAAGCCCTAAACCCTAAACCCTACACCCTAAACCCTAAACCCTAAATAACCCCAGAGCTATCCCGCCGCATCAAGGGTGCCTTGCGCCCAAGGCTGCTGCCACTGCTACGATGTACACGGCGTTTCAGTCAGGGTTTATCCTATAGGGTTAAGGTTTCGGGAATAAGCCCGATGCGCTAGAAGGAATCCTCACCCTGAAGACCCGAAACACCAAAGAAGGGTTTAGGGTTTGAGGTTCAGGGTTTAGGGTAAAGATCTGGGCCGGGAGGCCTGCTTCCTCGCCAACGCGCATGGCTTCTTGAAGCGAGGAAAGGCTTTTCCTTTTCGCTGCTTCTGCTGTTGGGAGGAAGTTGAATGATTTAGGGATGCGGACTTGGTGACTTCGGGCCAAGATGGGCCTAGGACTGAGGACTCCATAAGCTACTATGATATAGGCTACAAGTTTCAGGTTTAGGGTAGAGTTCTCGATAACAAAACAAAGTATGTAATGAACTCTTAATGGGATGCCTGGAGGCTGCTTGTTCGGGATCTGGGAGCTTGGTCTAAGGCCTGGTTTTGTCAAATCGCAGAAAGTCTCAACCTGTGCAGAGTGCTGCCTTGGGAAAAGCATCCCTAAACCCCCTAAACCCTAGCCCTAAACCCTAAACCCTATAAAACCTACAGGAAAGAAAGCCGTATAAACGACTGCAGTTTGAGTTGGTGTGCTCAGCCCGGGATTTTTGGAACCCGCCTCGCCACAGCTTCGCCGGGGGGCTCAAGCATTGTAGCGTTAACTTAGGACTTTGGGTCAAGAGTCTCTGTTCATCCGGGCTCTGAGTCCGGAGCTTTCATGGTTAGATGAGTGAACCTTGTTTAACAGCCTCTCTCGTGCGAAAAAAAAACAATGATGGCCGTTCTGCGACTGGAGTGGGGCCACCGGAGCTACAACGTTCAAGCATGAAAGCGCTACGAAAAAACGACTGCGCCTTTGGCCTACCTCTTCCTTCAAACTCTTCTGCAACAGCAGGCTTCAACCCGAGGCCCTAAACCCTAAACCTGAAACCCTAAACCCTAAACCCTAAACCCTAAACCCTAAACCCTAAACCCTAAACCCTAAACCCTAAACCCTAAACCCTAAACCCTAAACCTGAACCCTAAACCCTAACCCTAAACCGCCCAAAGCGATCTTTCTCGTTAAAAGATCCCCTGGTCGAACCCTCCTTCCCAAACCCTCAGGTAATCTCCACAACCCGAATACGTCTGACAGGGCAGAGTCTGAAACTGCCAGGGCAACCTCCGAGCTTTTGGTTGAGGGGTGCGGGGTTTAGGGTTTGGGGTTTAGGGTTACGATTCCATCGGAAGATATCTGGGTAGGTGGCTGCACTTGCATGATGTTGTCCAAGGCCAGCCTCGGTGCTCGTCGGCTCACTTCCCAGTCCGTGTCAATGCTTCAGAATTCAGAATGGAAATATCCTTAAACGCTAAACCCTAAACCCTAAACCCCAAGCCCTAAACCCCAAACCTTGGCGTCCAAGAAGCCTATACAGATTAGCTGCAGATACCTGCACCTCTGTTTGGTTCCCAGCAGAAGCCGAACAGCTGCCAGGCACTCACCCTGGCCAGTCTGCAGAAGCAAAGTCCGGAACTCATTGATCAGGCCCATGACCTCTTCCAGCCGTGCCTGCGCGCTTGACTAACAACCCCCAAGCCCTACGCCCTACGCCCTACGCCCTACGCCCTACACCCTAAACCCTGAACCGAGGCTTCGCAAAGCGCCCGGAGTGTTGGCGAAGCTTCGGCCGACCCCGGTGTGCTCACGACTTGCACGTTTACCGAGCCTCTAGACCATTGCTTGAAGCATTTCGGAATGAAGCATTCCATAGATCATTATTTGGAATGCCTAAGGTCCGTAGATAGGAAACTCCTGATTTCAAAAGACACTAACTACGGGGTATGCTAGTCACCTTGGGCTTGAAGGCCCTGTCATGGCCTAGCTGGGTGTAGGGGGTTCAGGGTTTAGGGTTTAGCCCCCCCCGCCCCCCCCAGACCTTCCAAGATCCCTGCAACCTATTCCTTAACTAGAGGGGCCCTACATTCAAAAGGATCCTACGATGATTTAGGGAATCGCCCTTCATTAAGGGATATTGGAAGTTCCCCTAAACCCTACACCCTGAACCCTAAACCTTAAACCTGGTACTGTAAGCCTTACGAGCCTCAGCCTTTAGGCCGACATGCCGTCGGCTCCCCTTCTTCCTCTCAAATCCCTTGGTTTGTTTGCTCTTCCCACTCCCCCGCCTAGGGTTCAGGGTTTTTTCCCCTCCCGCATAGCTGTTGCAGCTGGACTCCTTGCGGGTACCCGAAACCCTAAGCCCGAAACCCTAAACCCTAAACCTAAGCAGCCTTTTGGGTTTAGGGTTTGAGGTCTTGGGGTGCCGGACCTCGGCATTCGCCTTCTCCTGCTTCGTGCGCGCCCTGGTGATCAAGCCTCTGGGGTTTGGGGTTTAGGGTTTAGGGTTTAGGGTGATCAAGCCTCTGGGCTCGCTCTTGCTTTTCCAGCTGGGACAGGGGCTTATAAAGGCTAATCAGTTTTATTGAGATTAAGTTTGATTGAGATTCAGGTATTTTGGGGTCAGGCTTTGGGTCTTAGAGACTAAGAAGCAGCTTCCCGGATTCCAGGTTCCAACTGGGACACTCGGATTCAAGCTCGGCGCGGTGCAGGTTTGGGCGGGGTCCAGGGCTTCCATGGTTTGGTTTAGGGGTTTGGGGTTTGGGGTTTAGGGTTTAGGGTTTAGGGTCTAGGGTCTAGGGTTTGGGGTTTAGGGGGGGACAAGCGATCCAGCAGTTTCACGTCGCGTTGCAGATGGGAAGCATCCGAAAAGTCAAGATTTCTGACGCAAAGCACTTCGGAAGACAAGTGAGAGTTGTGGGTGGGGGGTGGGGGGAAGAGGGCCGGGGCCCTAAACCCTCAACTCCATGCTTGGTTTCGGTAGTTGGGACTTTACCTTTGAAAGCCCACACCACCAAGCATAAAGGAGTCATGGGATTCCACCGTCCCACGCCCCAAACCAAAACGATACCCAACATAAACCCTCAACCAAGCCTTTGGGAAGAAATAGATATCATCATACCCGTCCTCCTCTTGAACATGTTGTGTATCTTTTGGGTTCAGGGTTTAGGGTTCTGTAGGGGGTTTACGGTTTTGGGTTTAGGGTTTAACTCGGCGCTGTCTCTGTATCTAGATTTCAGGCTTCAGGGTTTAGGGCCACCCTAAACCCTAAACCCTAAACCCTAAACCCTAAACCCCAAACCTGAATCAGTCCCAGAGCACCCCCCCCCAAGGCCCTCGAAGCACGGCGCCTCTCAAAGCCTTCCTCGGGTCAAGGTCGCGAGGGTAGAAGCCTTCGCCGGCAATGGGGCCAGAGGCAAGACTGATCCCTCAGGGTTTAGGGAAGGTTTAGGGTTTAGGGTTTAGGGTTTAAGGTTTAGGGTTTAGGGTTTAGGGTTTAGGGTTTAGGGTTTGGGGCCCCTCCTGTGGCACCCCGTTAATTCAAAGCCAGTAAATGAGGGCAACCCGTCTGGGTGGGAATGCTTTTCATAAGTCTCTCACAGAAAGCCCTAGCCAAGAGCAACCACCACATGATATCAAGGAGGCAAACCACCAAGTTAACCCTGCAATGCTTGCTGTGCTAGGTTAACCCTACTGGGGATGTTCCCGCTTGTGCTAACAGCCCTTAGTAGGGATGACAATAGGGGGTACATTATAATAGGGGGTACTTAATCCCTATTCAGGACGATTAGTATAAGGGGGAACATCCCAACCCTTTTGCATCCGGGCTTGGGGCAGTCGGCCGGGGATGTAAGTTGCGGATCTCAACGCATCCCAACCCTAAACCCTAAACCCTAAACCCTAAACCCTAAACCCTAAACCCTAAACCCTAAACCCTAAACCCTAAACCCTAAACCCTAAACCCTAAACCCTAAACCCTAAACCCTAAACCCTAAACCCTAAACCCTAAGGAAAGGATCAGCGAGCCACGGGCCTAAGAGCATTCCTTCGGCTTCCTCCTCATCATCGCCTTGGCCGGTTCTGTGTGTGGAAGGGTGGGTACATCCACCCATTTCGTCTAGGGATTAGGTTTAGGGTTTAGGGTTTAGGGTTTTCGGTTTTCGGAAGAACACACCCAAAAAAGATCAAGAGTATTCTTCCTTAATAAGGGTTATGTAGGGAGTGCTATCTTTTTTGTTGGGGGGGGGGGGGAGGATCTTAAGCAAGTAGGGTGTATAGCGCTTTTAAGGTAAGGTTTAGTGTGAGTCCGACCCCAGTCCACAAAAAAACCCTAATTCCTCTCCTCAGGAAACCCCCCAAAATACATTTTGGAATCTACTATCTATTAGCTTGAGTACTCTTGGTGGTATTCAAAACCAACCCTAAACCCTAAACCCAAAACTCTAAACCCTAAACCCAAAATCCATAACCTTCAAACCGTAGAATTAACGGTTTGCCGGGCGCCCTGGGCACAACGGGGTTTAGGGTTTAGGGTTTAGGGGTTCCCTTCTCCTGGAATCAGAACAACCACGATGACAAACTCCAAAACCCCCGGCCGAACGTCCTCAGCCCTAAGCCTTAACTTTGTGGTTTTCTGCTTTGGGGCTCTTATCCCTTCGCCTGCACAGCTGAGATGTACAGCCTGTGCAAACCAACCGAAAAACAGCTTCGACATAATGCATCACCTAAAACGGAACCCAACATTCTTGCACCCCTGGCCCCCGGCTTGTTTTTCGCAAGCACCTACCACCCGCCCCAGGTATCAACGAACATCCGCTTCCAGCATCTTGCAGTAATGTAGGAACCTGAATAGTTAGAATAGGGTTTTGGAGGCTGTTATAAATTGTAGTATCATTATAAGGGAGCATACTATTGGCAATTATTCCGACTCCTATACTATGCGGTTGCGGCAGTTGTAGAAGCCTTGACATCGCCACCAATTAAGGACTTCCAGTATAGGGGGGATGTTCCCCAACTAAATGTGCGTTGTGAACGATGCATGCTTCCCATCAGGACAGCCAGCACAAGTAAACCGAAATCGTTTTTCCTCTGAGCCCCACACCAGCCACCCGGAACAAGTCCAGCTCGCGAACTTTGCCTGTTGTTCAATGCACGAGTCTATGTTCTGGACTTCATCCCCATTCTTATGGGCCTGTTTATCTGAAAATAGGGGACCCCTAATATAGACCCCCAAACAGTAGGATCCCCGTATAAAAAGGACCCATTCGGGTACAGTATCCCTAGCATCGTGAACCCCCATTTGGTTCCCCCGCAAGACACTGACTTCTTCCGATAGCTCCTAAACCCCTCCGCTTGCACTGAGAGCCCAAGCCGGTTTAGGGTTTAGGGTTTAGGGTTTAGGGTTTAGGGTTTAGGGCCATACTCCGACCACCCCAGATTTGCAACGCAACAGACCACAAAGCAACATGAAACTCACTGCAGGACCTAGGCGATGGCTAGGGAAGCTATAGGGTCCTGGCTGTTCTTTGGTGTTGCGCGCTTCTGCTCGTATGGTCGCCAGTACATGAAATTGCGAAGTACCAGGGGTAAACCCTAAACCCTAGGCCCTAAACCCTAAACCCTAAGCCCTAAACTAACCCTAAACCCTAAACCCTAAACCCTAAACCCTAAACCCTAAACCCTAAACCCTGTGACATGCAAGGCTCCGAAAGGCAGATGGGGGTTTACGATAATAAGGGACGCCAAAGAAGGTACCCCTACTTGGAGGTTCGTTTAGGGTTTAGGGTTCATGGTACAAATTAACCAACTACAACTGTACTTATAACCCACTTGTAAGCCCCTTAAGTGCCCTAATATGGTTATAAGTACAGTTATAGCTGGTTCATAAGTACCATGAACCTCCAAGTATTCTCATAAACCCCGTGGTCGCTCCTTTTGTCGCACAACTGATGACGCGTCTACTTCCTTCTAGCCAGCCCTTCCTTTGCGGAACGAGGCCTATGCAAGAGCTGCCAAGCGTTCTCCGTCTGAGCAGTGGAAACGCCATTTTTTGTTGACCACACGTCTGTCGCCTGTCTACCCTTAAAGGGTACCAAGAACCGAAGCCTGTGGCCTCAACCCTAGAACCCTCGAATCCGCTGCTGAAATTCCTTGATGCGCACCCTGATACGAAGTCGACGGTGCTTTGGCAAGCGCACTTGCCACTCGCTTCAACAGTAGAAGGCACATAGGCCTTTGAAGACTTTTGAGGTTTTCGGGGTCTTCATCGCTCACGGACAAGCCACGCGAGGCGATTGTTTAGGCCTGCTGTTGGGGGTTTAGGGTTTAGGGTTTTGCTGACCCCATGGTTCGGGGTTTAGGGTGCTAGGGGGCACCCACTGGTTTCTAAAGCCGCAAGAGGCAGCTTTCTGAGAAAGCGTCTCCAGCGGATGTCCGAAGCCCCCCTTGTGGTTCGTTGGGACCATCTTAGGGGCTATTCGGACATGAAGTCCATGGACGGAAAAAAAACTGAGTTGTGCTTTAAGCGCGTTGCAAATTGCTTATGAATAGGTTCCCTTATAAAGAAAGGAGGGAATCAAAATTCTCCGAAAGCACAACCCAGAAAAACGCCCCAGGCTACCCGACCTCTGCGACCTCCAGAAGAGTTGCTCGGAGGGCGTCTGCGAAAATTGAGCTTGGCAGTGGCAAGAATTCGGGCGTAGGGTTTAGGGTTCAGGGTTTAGGGCTCAACAATCACACAGTAGGAATGACTAGGGCGTTGGTGCCCTATATTCAGAAACTGTGAAGGTTCCGACGCTTCAGGCCTTCGTTTGCTTTCCGGTTGTAACCCTAAACCCTAAACCCTAAACCCTAAACCCTAAACCCTAAACCCCCAAGCGGCGGAGGGGTTAAACACTGCATGTCTCCTGTGAAGAAGAAATCATCACCCTGTGTGGCTCCAGATCCCCCCCCAAAAGCAGTCAGGCGTCGGGCGCCGGTTGCCTTCGGGATTCTTGGTTACCCCTACTTTGGAGTAGACCCTGGAAAACAAGTATATACATGTAGGAAAAGGGTAAAAAGTAGCTAACATAGGGAACCCAGAACCCAAAATTAAATGTTACAGTATAGTACCCCGAACCCCAGTTACGGCTTTTTTGGGATCTAGAGGTCGTCGTTGAGGCCCAGCTCATGCGGTCTAGTGGTCGGTACTGCCAGAGGCACGGACGCATGCCACATGAAAACAGACTGAACTCTGAGAGTGGCGGATGTCTGCAACGGGCACTAAGCACCTTTGCGAGGGTCCCGGACTCAGTGCAGATCTTTCGGCGTCTCTGCACAAGCACGTAGCCCGTCCCCCAAACTCAAAATGCGAGAGGTATGGGGCATCAGCATGCAGATTTTCGTGTTGAGCCTCTACTACTTGCTTAAAAAACCCCCAAAACTTAGGATATTAGTCCCTGTATTAACATTTTTAAAGAAAAATACTCATCATCTTAAGCAAATAGTCGGCCTAAACACAAATGGCCCAATCCGGAACCCCTGCTGGTCGGCAGTCATGATTTCCCGCGTGCCTTTCGGCATCTGGTTGATCATCATAAAACTGATGCTGGAATTCAAGAGACGACATCTCATCTCTCTCCCTCCGAATCGCATGTCTATTCAAGCATCCGTGTGTAGCTAGCTATCAAAAAAACAAAACAAGAAGACCACCCTAAACCCTAAAACCCTAAAACCCTAAACCCTAAACCCTAAATCCTAAACCCTAAACCCTAAACCCTTTTCCCTAAAACCCTAAACAGTTGCATTGCAGATCATGTTGCCCCGAGCGCGAGTCCCTGATCTGTCCTAGGCCTACAGCTGCCAAACAGCGCTAAACTCTGCATCAGGTCACGCTGCAGCCTGCTGAGGCTTAATGGTTTGGGGTTTGGGGTTTGGGTTTAGGGTTTAGGGTTTAGGGTTTGGGTTTAGGGTTTAGGGTTTAGGGTTTAGGGTTTAGGGTTTAGGGTTAGGGTTTAGGGCTTAGGGTTTGGGATTTAGTGCAATGGAGCCTGAACAGAAACCCCCCAAATCCGAAACCAATGCCTATCTCAGCGGCTGGTTCAGGGTTCCTGAGGCTTCTGAGAAAATTGAGAAAGCTTGCTTACTCCCAATACTCCCAAACCCTAAGCCCTAAAAACTAAACCCCAAACCCCAAACCCTCTGACCGTCTTTGTAGAAATCCAGCAGCAGCGTGGCCAAACCCTCTTCAGGGTCGGCGGGCCCGTCACTGGGATTTATGTGCGCGCAGCTTCACCATCGAGAACCGTGTACAATCGCCATGTTGTAGCAGGGTTGAGGGTTTCGGGTCCAGGGTCTAGGGTTTAGGGTTGGGTTTAGGGGAAGAACTGAAGAACGGACCAAACGCATGCCAACAAACATCACATGAAGTAACCTCAGTTCTTGGGGCTGGCACTCCCTTTGGCAGCCGGAACACCACGAAACTCAAGCGTCCTGAAGGCAAAGATCCCTTTAGCGCAGGAGTTCCGGCCTTTTTTTGCCTGGCAGAGCCGAAGCAACTTGGGTCTTATTGGGGTTTAGCTGGGCTTCAAACCCTAAACCCTAAAACCCTAAACCCTAAGTATATAAAGTTGATGTGAGCTTGCCACCTCAAACGCATGTCCGGTGAGCGCCTCTGAAAAGCCCAGATCACGGCGGCAAAACGTCAGACTGACTTGCGCTCAGCTACCTGCCTTGGCTCGACCAGAGCTTCATGGGTGGCGGAAAGAAGGGCTTAGGGTTTAGGTTTAGGGTTTAGGGTCGGGTTTAGGGTTTAGGGTTCAGGGTTCAGGGATCAGGGTTTAAGGTTTAGGGTTTAGGGCTTAGGGTTTAGGGTTTAGAGTTTAGGGATAGGGTTTAGGGTTTAGGGTTTAGGGCTTAGGGCTTAGGGCTTAGGGTTTAGGGTTTAGGCGAAAGAAGGGCTCTTAGTACTTAGTATCCATATAATAATAATAAGGTCACCCTTTTGTGGTTTGGTGATTTTGTACGGGAACCCATAACCAGAACAAAAAGGGTAAAGGGCACCACTGGGCTACCAAGAGTAGGGGGTTCAGGCTGTTCAGGGCACTCCTCTCGGTTTGCTCACCCTAAACCCTAAAACCTAAACCCTAAACCCTCTCGGTTTGCTCAGCATGTTAACACACACCCGAAGATACGAGCACGCGCCACCTCGGGGGCCCCAAAGCCCACATGCCGATTGGGGGGAAAACGCTGCCAAACTGCCACGGCGCCCTAAATCCTTTAAGCCCTATAGGGTTTAGGGTTTAGGGTTTGGGGCTAGGACTCACCGTACAAAACAAGGGACCCCCCAAAAACCCAACACCCGCAAACGCCCCAAACTGCAGGAGACCCATCCCAAACCCTGAGCCTTCTTGAGCCCATGTGTGAAGAGTCTGGGCCCCAAAGTATGTCGGGCCCAGGATTTAGACACTGTCTAGGGACGATAGTAAACCCTAAACCCTAAACCCTAAACCCCTTACAATAAACCCTGGACCAGATATCTTGTACGGCCTAGAGTTGTGCTGCGAGTGGCTTTTGGCGGGAGCTCTCCTGCAATTTCTCCGCTTCGATCTGCTCCTGCCACGCCTGCTGGGTTAGGGTTGAGGGTGCAGGGTTTTAAGTTTAGGGATTAGGGTTTAGGGTTGAGGGATGCAGTTTAGGGTGTAGGGGTTTAAGTTCAGGGTCTAGGATTTTAAGGTTTAATTTAGGGTTGTGTTTCGGGTTTCGGGATCAAGGTTTAGGGTGTCGGGTTTCAAGTGTAGGGTTTAGGGTTTCAGGTTTAGGGTGTCGGGTTTAGGGTGTAGTGTGTAGGGGGTAAGGAGCGATATAATAGGCACAGGGCCTGATTGAGGCAATTTGTCCGGCCCCGCCTAGCTGGCCCCGCCGCCCTCCAGGGTCTAGCGCTTAGTGATGAGGATCTCTGAACCCTAAACCCTTTGCCTAACAACCTGTAAACCCTATGTCGATACCGCCGGACTCATCTACCCACTTGATTCTGCCCCATCATTGCCGAACCCCCATTTTTTGACCTCAAGCCCCTTGCTGCCCAGGCGGACCCGCATGTTGCGCTGCAGGAAGAGGTTGGCCGGGCGGCCTTTTTGGGCCAGCAGCTCCTGATCGCGA